CTCGCACCATCTTTATCGCTCATAAAAATGCTTTTAGACACTACCAAGCCAAGTGATTCTTATAGCTTCATATCCACTATTGTGATTAAATTAACATTCAAACGAAACTAATTATTTATACATTTGATTATTTTTCAAATTTTATTTTATTCACTGTGTATGGTATAATATTCAACTTAGCTTTTATTGTATTGGCTTTTATTTTTCCTATATTTTATTCTCCTAAAATATCCTGAGTAGAAAATAACATGTTTACTGTTTTACATGTTTGCATTATTTTATTTGTTTTACTTATTGGACAATCATAATTATTTTACTACTGTATGGTTTCATCGATAACTCAAAATTCAGGTAGGTTACTGCTGTTGCCGCTTTGCACTTTGAGTGAATGCTTGATGGACCTTACCCACTAAGGAAGGGGTGTTTGATCATTGATGGATACTCACATTGATATCTATAACATATCTATTCATAAATCATTTTAGCCACAAAGTTGGTAGGTATTATCCCTACCTACTAAACTGGTGACTAATTTTAGTAGGCATAGATACACCAAAATGTAATGGCACTAAGTTCTGAAATATTTCAAAAAGAATAGTTTCTGCTCTGGGGGTTCTTTCAATCTCATGAGAAAAAAATAAGTAGGAGTCCACTTTAGAAAACCAAAATTATGTTTTTGCCAAATTTAAAGAAAATTGAACTACACGATTGTTTATAAATTAACAAACAAACAATAAAAATGTCTGTCAAGTTGATGAAATGTGACCTCAGTTGAGCCTTGTCAATTATTTTACCAGCAAAAAAGTTTAATATTAGTTTTTCAGAGATATTATTTTAATATAGTACTTTTACTACTACTATGCCGTGGCACCACAGACCGGTGGCAGCCTCTGTCCAGTTGTGTGTGCCCAGCAGCTCCTAGTTGTCCCTTCCTATTCCATCCTCCCATCTTAATCCAATCCTGCCTCTTTCTCTGGTCCTATACAGTCTCCCATCTTGCAACTTCCTTGGGATCTTTTCTAATGGCATCCGTGCAACATGGACAGCATATCATAGTCTTCCAAACCTTATATACCTCATTAAATCCGCTCTTCCATAGTGCCCATAAACTTCTGCATTGGTTCTCTTTCTCCAATTGTCATCCTCCTTCACAGTTCTAAATATTGGTGAAGGATTTTCCTTTCAAAAATAAGAAGTCTTTTTCTGTTCCATACAGGAGTTCTGAAATTCTGAGAGTCCAGGACTCCGAGCCGTAAGTTAGGACAGGCCTGATGAGGGTCCTATACAATTGACATTAGGTAGAGCAAGATAATGAAAAAATAGCATCTGTTGGCATTAACGAGTCGCTGACAAATTTCCACAGAAATTCTGCTTCCGGATGTTATCATTGATCCAAGATACTTAAACTCATCCACATAACGGAAGGTAAATGGACCCATTTCTACTTGTTCTTGTCCTGCTGCGTCTGATCCAGGTTCTGCTTGCAAACATTTGATTTTTCCTTGATTAACAATCATTCCAATCACTTTCGCAGCCTCAACCAACTTAAGGAACTCACTTTTAAGTGACTGGAATGACCCTGCAATGAGATTAAGATCATCTGTAAAACCAAGTACTTAAACAGACTTATTAAAACATAATGTCTGTTGTCTATATTCCTAAGTCACTTATGACCTTTTCTAAAGCTAATTAAATAGGAGACAGGCAAACCCATCACTTCTTGCGAAAACAAGCTCTGGTGAAATATCTGACTGTACCCTAACAGCGCAGCTTGCATTACCCATTATCAGCGTAGCCCATCATTGTCATCCTGATTAGGCGCAGAAGTTTCAACAGTATTCCCATTTCGCAGAGGACTGCATATAACTTAGGCCTTTTTATATTGTCATATGCATTTTGAAAATCAACAAACATTTGGTAGGTAATCTTCCGGTACTCATGTGATCTTTATTGGATGCTAATGCTGAATAGTTGATCAATCGTAGATTTACCCCTTTTGAAAACAGTCTGATACCTACCAATTTCTCTCTCGGCAAATAGGAGCAGTTTCATGTATATAATCCTGGGCATTGAACTTTATATGCACATTGAAGAATCGTAATCCCCCTGTAATTAAAGAAATCCATAATATCACTCTTCTTATGCAGTGGTTATATACTGCCTTCTTCCACTTGCAAGGCATTCTTTCTTCAATCCAAATGGTGAGAATTATGTTGTAGAACGATTATGTGGGGAATCCAGATGATTTCGTGATACCAAGTTGGGAGAATGATGAGGACTCCCCTGATCCACTAATATATGATGACTTAATCAATGCTGTAAATGCCCTGAAAAACAATAAAGCTCCAGGGGAAGATGGGATATCAACTGAACTTATGAAGCAAGGTGGTAAAGATTTTCAAAATGCCCTCTACTACATAATAGAATACTTTTGATGTAACATAATCAGAGCTTGAAACGGCTTTTAACAACTTTTATGGCTTTTAACAACGGGCTTGAAACAACTTTTTTTTTTTTAACGTGTTGGTATTACTGGAATTTTTACTGTCTTTTGTTTTAGTTCTTTTGAAACTAGAACTTTTTCCCTTACAATTTTTCAAGTAAAGGTTTTACAGAACTTTTATTCATAGCTACTCAAACAAATGACACATTAGAATCATGTTTAATACATTTAAGACAAATTATAACTCTAATCTAAGCCCAATTGCTGTTTATTTTTCTTATAACAGAATATTTTTTAAGAACTTAAATAAACATAAGTTGAACTTTTACCATAAACCTGTAACTTTAAAAAAAGGTCCAAAAAACTTTGATTGTAAGAACTTTTTTCCTAAACATTTTCACAGGAACTGTTAAAATGGAGCTTTTAAAAACAGTTTCAGGAAAGTATTGACACCTGAACAAAATTGATCACAAAATTTCATGAAGATATATCAAAACTAGTAGTTTTAATTTTATAGACAACTATGATGTTAAATGAAACTTATCACTTATTTTCCTCATCCCCACCTATTATAAGGTGGGGAAAGTTGTTCATAAGTATTTTATAATTATTGATCTGATTTTAATGTAAATTGGTGCACATTTTTACACTAATGATTTTTTTAGATTAGTTGGACTTCATTAATTCTTCAGCATATTGTTTCCAAGAAAACCCATTCTCTTTTATTATAAAAAAAACTTGTACCACTATAACCCATGAAGGTTCTGTGAGAAGTACATTACTTATTAAGAAATAAAGTCCGCTTTATTGAGGTTGGTTGTGTTCTCAGATGATCTTTTGATGTAATAGAATAAATAACCATCTGCCACAGCTTGACTCGAACCTGCGCCGGGGGATAAATGCTCTTTTTATTATATAATTATAAATGTTGAATTCCTTTGGAATTAATTCAAAACCCATTTATTTATAATTTTTAAGAGCCGTGCTTTAGAATTAATGTTTCAATCTTAATTATTTATATTAATGAACAACAAAACTATTATAGGAGTCTGATGAGATTTTGGATCTATATTAAAGAACATCAATCATCACAATGAAATTGTTATACTTGACCTACCATCATTATTTGAGGTAGTAATTGTTGAAAGCTGAATGGGTAGGTTGGCTAATTGAATTTGATGTTTGAATTATTTTTTGTGAAAGTGAAATTCATGTCATATTCTTCTCCCCAAATATCTAATCTCTCGTTTATTTAAGAAGTCATTATTTTTTTATTTTTGTCTGGACAATATTGCTGTTTTGATTGGTGCAAGAATCAGACACAAATGAAACATCAATCCTCTTCTTTAGTAAATAATATTGGAAATACTACATTATCGACCATTATAAACCGTCATACATTGATAAAAAAACAAGGCATGACCAGGTTTATCTTGTTTTTTAACACCAATGTCAATGAATGCATATTATCTTTGAGGCAAAAACAAGGTTAGTCCTGAGGTTACTGATCTATTCTAAGACTAATGCTGGATCTATCAGATGTCCAATTTAATTTCATGTGGTTATCACCAAAAAGTTTCAAACTTATCTCATTTTTGTGTCACGGTCTTCATTTGTTAAATTAAACAATTTGTAAAAATAAATTTAAATTGTACAATTTTTAGAATGGTGTTGGGAATATTACTATGGCAGGAATATTACTTCATAATTACATATTTTGAAATTGCCTATTCAGGTGATTGAGACTGTGACTGCAGGTCAATTAAAAACTGAAGTTTATGTTTTTGCCTAATTTTAATCGCTCCTTCCCAAGCACAATCATATATCTAAATATGTGAAGACCGAGTCAAACTAAGCTAGTAAGCAAATGCGATCGTGATAATAACACACAACAAAACATTCTACTCGGTCAGTAGCCAATTTGTTGGCAACATTTTATCAACACTGAAACCAGAAACCTCCGGGATAATGACAACTAGTTCACTAGTAAGTATGATGATATATGTCTAGTTTACTTGCTAAATAAAGCCCACACATCAGGCAGTAGCCGGGCTTTCAATTTTTCCTTTAGATTGTTGACTAACTGCTAGTTAGCTAGTGAACATGATTTCTCTGGGTGAGTTTACTATCAAATTGCTGATTCAACTCTTAAAGTTACCCAGTATAATTGAGCTTTTGAATTTTAATGAATAGTAAGAGGTTAATCACAGTTCTGTTTTTGAAAAATTGAAGTGCTAGATAGAGTTAAATTTGTTATTATAAATATTCATACCAGTTTTTGAATGTTAATTATAAAAAATTAAAATTGTTGTGCCTACACCCAGTACCTATCATATTTGACTTCTCTGCTGAATCTATATTATATATTTTTTATTTTACTTTAAATTTATTTGTAGTGATTTTTTTGAATTTTTAAAGTACAGTTTATTAGTAAAAATGATCTATCCTTTGGTAGGATATTGTAACAAATCAGTGCTATAGGTTCCTGCTCATTAATATCTCTTTAGTCCTTTAATTTTGAAAGTGTTAAAGATATTATTTCTTATATACCTTGTAGAATGTTAAGAAACTCTTAAGTGAGGGTGTTACGGGCCCTGAAGGCCATGCTATTTCTCGACCTGAAATTATTGAAGCTGAAGCTGTCAACAGAGCCTGTGTCATTGCCAATCAGGTAAAAATACATCACTAAAGAGGGAGTGAATCACCTGATAAGAGTGTTAGATACTGATTGCTCACTATTTACCCCATTTATTTATTTTTTTCTGCATCTCTAAGTTTTGTTAGTGATCGTTCAATTTGTTCTTTTTATGCATGCATGATAAATCAAATTTTGAAGCACTTAACAAAGCACGGATTTTCAATGTTGTGTTTATTTTGCTTATGTATTAGTTTTAATTATTATCTTAATTTATTATCATAAATAATGTGTTTGTTTGGTGATGGTGATGCACTTACAAAAGTGTTTCTTTGGAGTAAATGATCTATGATGTCATATAATTAATTTGATCAAATTTTTATGTTTTCAAGTATTTGGTAAATATTAAGTAGTCATTTGTTTTTACTTTATGTTATATATGTTATGAAAATATTCCTAAACAATCCCAAATGTTAAGTACTTATACCTTTAATACTTGAAATACATCAATTCTATATGATAGTAACTCAACTTAGCAGTTGAATTGTCATTTGATGTTATCCCATGGATTTGGAATAAATTTTACATACAATGTGCTTTAAACTACTGAATCATCAGCTAGCATTGAATGAGCAATTGATCAGTACTAATAATAATCACAATTCAAGATATAAAATCATTAAGCCTGTCTTAGTTAGGTTGCAATATAATTTAATGTTGTAAAATTTATTTTCATTAACTTTTTTTTTTTTATAATTTCTTGTTTCTGGTTCATCAAATCTCTGGATATTGCTGAGACAAAGCCGCATATATACGTACCAGTTATTTATAAACAGTTAGAAGAATTGATTAAATCGCTGCTTAAAATAAAATAAAAGTTTATGAATGCCTTTTCACGGCAATTAATGCTTAAGATGTGTATTCCACATGATACAACTCATTTTGTTCGGTTTTTTTTTTTTTTTTCTGTTTTATCAACCAACTGAATTCAGTTTACTATGCGAATGCCACTGAAACTCCCTCCATCTAACTTGGTCCCTTCCATACAGTCATCTGTCTGTTTCTCCATGGCTTTGTCCCTTCATTCTTCATTGCCAATTAGTCATATAAGGTACATAATGTGAGTTAGTAAGTTAGGTGTAGGGGTAAGTTAAATAGTCATGCCGCACTAACTACTCAGAGGTATTCTCTCGACCTCTTCAATTTCATGAATGAGCTAAAATATTTGTCTCTCATTTAGTCAATTAGCTATCCATTAGCTTGTTTTAATTCTCATTATCTGTAAATTTGATTGTTCTAATGACTATGATTTTAGCTCATCCCTAATTTTAATTAAAATCTTGTTACAAGTCTATGTACTCCACAGACCTAGCTATATACCAATTTTTTTTATATGTTCTTGCAGAGCTAAAGTTTCTGCTATAAAAAATAAAATTAAATATTTCATTTAACTTTATATGTCTCGTTCAATGCTTAATAACTTTAGGGTAGTAAAATGTTCAAAATGCACTGTAAATTAGTAATGTTGAAGTACACCAGTACCTGGTTTACCTGATGTATTACAAATTATAACTTACACATTAATTTCAGAAGTGAATCAGCCAAGAGTTATAAACATATTACAGTGCCTCAGTCAGATACTGTTTTTATAAAACTTTTGCCAAAATAAAAAAATAGCTACTCAAACAAATTACACATTAGAATCATGTTTAATACATTTAAGACAAATTAGAACTCTAATCTAAGCCCAATTACTGTTTATTTTTCTTGTAGCAAATTCTGTTGTTATAGTTTAAAATATATTTGAAAAAATGATAAATAATTGATTGACTTGGAAATTTTCTGTTACTTACTGCTAATTGGTAGTTTCATTGTAGTGTAAACTCCATGTGTTCAGGTAAAAAGGTGTTTGCTTATATTTCCTCCTTCACTTTAGAAATCCTCTTGCAGCCTCCACCGAACATCTCTGTCTTATGCTGCAGCAGTTCAGTTTCATAGCAAGGCTCTAGCATCTGCCACTATATCATGCCCATGCAGGTTGGTAGGTATTTTAATGTTAAGGTGATTGTGAGATTCTTTTTTTTTTTAAAATCTTAGGGTTCTTTCTGCTGCTGCATTGAAGATTTAAAGCATCTTTTTCATTGCTTCTCCAAAAGCCCTTATCCTCTCAGTAAAGTCTTCTCAGAGGTGGTTCTGATGAACAATATTAACTTCATTATCCATTAAATTTTCATATTATAACTTCATAACGGTCTTGGTTAGGGATATTTTTTCTGATTATAGATTTTTTATGTTTGGAAATGATAATCCATGTTACGTTTTTCTCTATATGGTTTAACATTCATAAGATTGGTTTTATGACTAGAACTGATCAGAAAATGAGCAATTTCACTAGCCAGAGTTCCATTGTGTATTTGTGTTTATATTAATCATGCTAAGAGTTTCAGAATTATTAGTGCTAAAATATTTACATATTTTTATATATTTATAACCATAATTCTACTCCAAAAACACTTCTGTTTTATTAGTTAGCCGTTTTATTTTTACTTTTGCAAATGGATTTGTTTTGCACTTTGCATGAGTAATTTATTTTGTGTTTGTATATAGTATAATTTGATTGCTGCTGGAATAACTAAATAACTACTGTGGAGAATTAAGAAGAGATGAGAATTTAGTTGCAGCCTTTTAAAAGATGACATTATTTTTTTTCTTTGTTTTTTTATGGAATCTTCTTATCTTCTTTAATTCGTCTTAATTTAAGGTAATTTAGTTGTTCTCAGATTTTTTTTTTATTTTTATTTAAGTAGCTAGTAATATTCCTTTGTAGTATTTAAAGATATATCTTTCTACCTATGTATTCTTTTATTAATCCTGAGTGTGAGTGTTTTTGTTATTGATTTTTTTTTCTTCATTTATGCATTTTATTATTTTTTTATTATTTTAATTTATAAAAACTTGATAGGTGATTATTTGAATTATAAATGTAACTGTCAAATATAACAAAATTGAAATATATGATATAAAGTAAGTGATTTCATATTGCTCTTAAATACTGTTTATATATTTAAATAAAACAAACATGCACACTGAATCACAAAAATATGTTAAGGAATATCTTACTTTCATATATAAATACTTAGATACAGCTATTTCCCACTAATTTTTCGATACTTTTAGTATAATTATATACTTCTATTTAATTTAAAAGGTATCACTAGCCTCTAAATAACAAATATTTACAACAAACACTGATTTGGTCTACATACTTTATAAATGTAGTCATGTTGAAGACCTAAAACTTAGGTTGAAACATCGGCACAAAATAAAATAAAAATTTTGTATTTTTATTTGTGTTCTCACTGTGACTGCAACCCTTAAGTAACTCAACAACTATTTCAAATTAATGAATAACTTCAAATATCTCATTGTTTCACTTCCTATTTTCTTAAACTCTAAATATTTGAGCATTTTCGCATGCTAAGAATTTTACAAGCTGAAAAAAAAAAACATCAGGATTTCTACCTCCATTTGATCCTTAAGAACATTTTCTCACTAGACAGTTTGCTCCAATCCATTTTAAACTTAGTTTTCATCATTAGTGGAATGATAATTTCAAGTGGTTCTTGCACTGTCGTATTCTGTATTAACTATAAATTTTCTATAATTTAGTAAATTTTCTGAAAAAAAAAACATTGAACCAACACCCACAAAAAAAAAAACACCCAAAAAAGCTCAGTTAAAAATATTCTTTTATGATTATGTAGGTATGAAATGATTTTTCTTGCAATTAATTATTTTATTTTACATTTTTTATGTAAGTTCTAAAAAAAAAGAAAAGTAAATTATTTCAGTGATTCATAGGAACTTACAAAATTATTAAATGAAATCACAATGATATGGAGACATGTACTAAGTTTCAAAATTTCATTGAAATAGATTTAATCTGAACAATTTCAGCTACATTACAGCTGTATTTAATAACTTTTGATATTATCCATTAAAATTTGTATATGAGTAGCTATTTATAAATAAATAAAACAAAATATTCTAAACAAAGGCTTATTTTATGCACTGCCAGCAATGCAAACCTGCCAAATTCTGCCATTGATATATGTAAACATGTTTCCTCATGCTGGTAAAATTCTTAGAGTGTGAAAGGGCTGGCTAAAAAATATTATATTGTTTGGCTAAAAACTGTATAATTATTTATTTCGTTTTACCAATGACTAAGAAATAAATTTCAAATTATTTGGGCAATGGTTAAATAATAGAAATTTTGTAATGCCGTATACTTTTTGATTCAATTAATCTTAACTATGAGTTGTTTCTTTCTTCTTTTAGAATCCTTAATAAAATTATTTAAAGCTGTTAATGTATATATTTTTTTTATGATGGATATTAATAATGTTCACAACTTATACATGGTGTCTCCATTCTTAATGGCCAAACTGTGGGGGTGATTTCTAGAAAATTTGTTCAACAAATAGTTCATTTGATGCATGAGCCGATTCCGAATGAAAAAGGAGTTAAGACCAATTTTGTTCCTTCCTAAGGTGGTCATGTTTTTTATTGACTAAGAAGGAATTACTTAAAAACTACTCAAGATAATTATATTTTAAGTTGTACCATTGTACCATTGTACCATTGTAAAGTAGACAAAATTTTCTTTGAGAAAACAGTGATTAAATTTACTACTTAGTTACTGATAAAAAGGATTTTCAGGAGGTCTAATAGGGCCGCTATACTGCTGCATACAAATCAGGAATAGAGATATGCTGCTCGTGTATGGGTACTGTAACAGCAGTAGTACAGCGGTCATATTAGACCTCCTGAAAGTTCCTTTTATCAATGACCTTTTTGAATTTAACTGTTTTCTCAATGAAAATTTTGTCTACTTTATGGTTGTGTTCTTAGAATTTAATAATCTTGAACTGATTTTTGAGCGATTCCTTCTTATTCATTAAAAATCGTGACCCCCTTAGGAAAAATACAAAATTAGTGTTAACTCCTTTTCTGTTCAGAATCGGCCCAGGCAT